AGATCTTGGACTCACCCAGGCTGACTGAATGAGAGGCTCTGAGGGCGAGGCCTGCGAATACCACATCTATTAAGGTCTCTCAGTGATGCTGATGCTGATGAGAAGATGGGCTCAGAAGCCACACTGAGTGGCAGGTCAGAGGAGGTGGGCTCTGGTCTCCTAATCACCCAGGACCCTGACATCTGACATCCCTGTGGCTCATGATGGCTTGTCAGGGCTGTTGGAAAGATAGCAGGTGAGCCAATCACCCAGGGGACAAGCCGCTGTACAGGAAGCTGTGCTTCGTGGAACATCTGACCTTTTGTTACAGGGCCCTTCTGTTCTGTCACGCCCCCCACTTACTTGGTCAGGACAATGGAGACTGCATCGTTGAGAATACTTTCTCCAAAGACCAGCATGTTGAGCACAGGGTCCACGTGCAGCGCATTGAAAATAGCGATAGTGGCCACTGGGTCAACAGCAGATATTAGGGAGCCAAAGGCGAAACTGGAAGAAGAAGAGAGAAGGAAGGGCAGGTCCTGTAGGGCGTATCACTTGGTCCACACAGCAAAGCATCAGCCTGCAACCATGAGTCACACAACACAAGGGCACAGGCTGCAGAAGACAGGCATTTTTTCCCAGGTAGCTGCTGATGGACAGAAGAGGCCAACCTGAAGGGTTAGGAGTGGCCGGTTTCCACCTGCCAGCACTGACACTTATCCTTCCCAAGGTAAGTGGATAAGCAGGAGGCTTCTGCTCAAATACACAGCACACTGCCCAGCCCTGCTGGTCAGAGTAACCATGGTTCTCCATGTTCAGCACTCAGCCCATGAGCTGCTGGGTCTGACGTGTTCTGCCTCCCACCGCCAGGCTGAGTGCCATCAGGACCAGCCCCCACTTCTACTCTGACTTGCAACATCTGAGAAAGTGGCAACAGCCACCCCAACTCCAGATGCACAGTCTGGGCGACAGACCCCATGGTGGCTCCCACCCAGGCCTTTAGGTCTCACAGGCGGTACCCAGCACAATGGTGTCACCTCCAACAAATATTCACCAACTGCCTCCTCTGCTTCATCTCAACAGCAGACACTTCTGTGGCCCTCACTGCACCCCAGGCCCTGTCCTAACCTCTTCCAGGGCCCCAGCCTTCCATACTGCGGGCACCAAGCCAGCACTGCTGCTGACAGAGGACTGACGGGCAAGAGGCAGAATGGTGCAGAGCAAGCTCAAACACTCGGGGCCAGTTAGTCACTAAGGTGGGTGCAGCAACACAGAAAGAAAGCCAAATTTAGAAAACAGCAAGTGTGGCCCAGGAAGTAAACAGGGCGACATGTAAAAGAATGTCCCAGCAGAGGGAGATGTGTGGGAGCCCATTTGATGAGAGGTCAGGGAAGGCCTCTGAAGAGATGAATTATCTGAACAAAGAGCTCCATGACAAAAAACAGTGGTCAAGATATCTGGGGACAAAAAAAAAAAAAAAGATATCTGGGGACAGAGGTAAGAACAAGTGCCCCTGAATCTGGGAGCAAGCTTGGCTGCCTATGAAACAAAGTGAAGGTGCACTGGTGCTGGTGGTGGTGGTGGTGGAGTGGCAGGAGACCACGGAGGCCCGTGAGGGAGGCAGGCCTAGGTCCCCCATGATACCTCACGGGCCACAGGAAGTCTGGATAATTTCTTTTCTGGTGCTTGTCGACTCCCCCTAGTGCACCCGCAGGCCTTCTAGTCCTCACCTGCTGTGACGGCCCGTTGCTGGGTGAGGGACAATGCCCCTTTCTTGATGTGGAACAAAATACACAGCCCGAGGGTGCAATGCTACATCAGTCACCATCCACAGGCCATAAGCAAGTGTGCAGTCTGCAAGCGCAGAGTGACACTGGGCATGGGGCACCGAGCAGCCTTGGCAGAGGGTGCTGATGAGAGGAAACGCCCGGCTGCCTCGCTGATTACATGTCCCTTCATAAACTGCTCCCTTGAGCTTGAGAGTTCCATGACAGCTGCCTGTGAGTGTGACGAGTGAAAACCCACCCAGGAGGGCCTCTGGATCCCAGATGAGGGCCAGAAACACACAGTGGCCTCTGCTCAGACCTCGTCCCCATACCTCGCCGTCCTCACAGGGGTGACGACCACATGCATGTGGCCTCATCACTGGTGTCCCAGGACCAGTGCTGAGCACAGCCCACAGATACTTTTGGACGGGAAGAGGGAGGGTGGAGAGGAAGGAGAGACACACAGGAGAGGCAGCTCCTTCCAACAGGGCCGCTGGTCTAGGGCCTCACTGCAACGTAGACGCAACTTGTCCTCTTCTTCACTCTCCACCCCATCTCTCACAGCAACACATGAGGGTGAGGAAGGAGGACAGCCAACAGCCGGAAGGAGCCAAAGCCATGGTGGGCGTGTTGAGCTGACTGAGTATGGCTTAGCTGGCCTTTCCCTCCATTCACAGGAGAGTGCACGCAGCAGGGTGGAGAGCCACGGTTCTCCATGCTCAGCACCCACACCCCCTTGGTCTTGGTAAGAGCACCCCATCTTCCTTTGGGGAGCCACACCTTTTACTCTCTGACCTTGCAGTCATGTGGGGCTCTGGGTGCAGGGCTGGGGCCCAAGCTTGGGCACTAAGGGCATCACCAGCACTTTACCAGGTCAGCAGGAAGAGGCTGGCCCTCTGGAGGGGAGGCTGAGGGGAGGCTGAGGGGAGGCTGAGGGGAGGCTGTGAGCCTGGGCCAGCAGCTCTGCCATAGGGTGACCATGTGTGAGGAGGAGGCCAGTCAGGGAGACTGCACTGAGACCACTAAGAGGAGATTCCCAATATTGTGGGCGCTTGGAGAGTGTCATGCCAGAAGCCATCACCCTGGGGACACTCCAGTCCTACAAGCCAACAAATTTCCTTTCTGCACTTAAGCTCGTCTGTGTCAGGTCTGAGCTGCACTGCAAGCGGCCTGGCTGATGTACTGTATCAGTGTCACTGTGGGAGCCACAAGAAAACTGAGGAACGGACAGAGGGAAAGCAGGCACCAAAGCGAACACTGCAAATGGTGACGGTGATGTTCAGGAGGTGGCTGGGTGGGTGCTCCCTGTTCAGCCTTACTTTTCTGTCTTCTAAACTTTCCATAATAAAAGCTGGGGAAAATGCTTTGTGTAAATCATACAACACATTCAGCCCTGGCTGGGCATCTAAACCAGGTAGAGGGACTGTGAGAGTAAACTGGCAAAGCCTGAAACAGGAAGCCCCAGTCTCCCAGAAGCCTGTGTCTCAGGGTCCCCTGGCCTGGGAAGAAGTGCTTCCAGGTCAGGCCTCTGCGACCAAAGCTTGAAGTGAAAAACGCAAATTTAAAACATACTTTATTGTCACTTCAAAAATTAACAACATCAACAAAATGAGAAGGATACAGACTGCACTGGTGAAATAATCCAGGTGTTTAGGATGAAATCTGTCTCCAGCAGAAGTATCACTAAAATCAAAACTGCCACAAGGTCATTTTTGTGTTTTCCACAATGCAGAGGCTGCAACAGGTGCTCTGTGTGCCTCATCATCAGCCTGTGTGGTGTTTCTGAGCAGTGACCTAAGTCATTGACATTTGAAAACGGGAATAGATTCCCTGGCAACATCCAGAAACCTGGCCTCTTAAAAAAAATCTTTTGTTTAAACAAGACGGGGGTGTGGCTCAGTGATGGAGTGTTTGCACAAGGCCCTGGGTCCCATTCTCAGAATCACACACACACACACACACACACACACACCACAATCTTTAAAAAACAATCAACTGTAGGCTGTCTATGCATACTGTCACATGTCTATCATGAGGAAGGGCTGAGGAGCGCTGTTCCCTTTGGGCAGCTGTGCTCTCCTGGGGCCACTATCCTACCTCCACCACTCCTGGCAGGTTCCCTCTGTGAGGGGCTCTACGCTCTGCATGGCGTGGATGTGTGAGCTGGGACAGTCTGTTTCTATCAGCACGGAGCGCCTGCCCAAGGCCCGGCCCTCATCCAGCTCATCCATAGGAGTCTTCACTCCCTCCACCCCAACACCCCAACCACTGCTTAAATTCAACCTCACAAATACGTGTGCAGTACCACCTATGTCTCTGGCCCGGTGCTCCACCCCAAAGAGGGTGAAGGTCTGAGTGCTGTGACACCTTCCTTTATATCAGTGGGGTTCGGGCATTTCCTTTCACTTGCAAAATACCTATGAAACACAGAGCATCAATTCTGCTTTATTTCCAGTTCCCGTGGAACAGGAATGAGATCTTGGCTATTTGTTTATATATAAAAACTTTTTCTTACAAGAGTTCCAAACTCAAGTTCTCGGGCAGGGCTGAGGGAAGGGGGTGGGAATGCAATGGGACTTTGTTATCAGAAACATATTTCTTTTTCTTTCTTTTTTCTTTTTTATTTGAGACAGGGTCTCACTCTGTAATTCAGACACTTGAACTCACTGTGTAGCCCAGGTTGGCCTCGAACTTGAGATGATCCTCCTGCCTCAGCCTCCCAAGTTCTGGGAGTACAGGTGTGCACCACTATGGCCAGGATAAAAATTTTTTTTTGGTACCAGGGATCAAACTTGGGTCCTTACGCTTGCGCAGCAGGTGTCGAAACCACTGAGCTAAATCCCTGCCCCAAGGGTAATTCTTAATAATAATAAAAGGACAGTGATGCACTGTATATGTGTATATGGGTGGGCCAGTTAATTGGACAGAGCTATTCTCTCTAAAGCTTAAATTAAATCATTTCAATCAGCAATGCTTAGACGAGGAGTCTTCAAAAGCCCTCAAAATAATTTTGATTCATTTTAGAGATAAAAATTAATTCAGAACAGATACTACACCGGAAATCATTGGCAAGGGGGAGGGGGAGTAAACAAAGAAGTACCACACCCAGGAAGCAATATGAAGAAATTTCCCCAGCCTGTACAGCAGATGCATGGGTGTTGCAGTGTAAAGGATTTACCTGTCTGTCATGTTGAGTTTAGAGATTACATCAGCCTGTAAAATAAAACACACAAACACAGAGACACAAAAAAACCCCTGGAGAGCAGTCAAGAAGATTAAAATGTCCATCAGTGCGTTACTACCAATAAGGACATTAACCTTCAGTCCCCAAATCACTTTAAAAATAAAACGCCTAAGCTCTGGTTTAAGCATGCATTCAATCATCGTACAACAAAAGTAGGGAACACTTTCCAACCCCAATTAACTGCAGTTTTCTTCTCTAAAGGTTATTCCTCTGATATGAGAAGCTGAGCAACGAAGAAAATTTTGTAGAAACAGATTTGTTCCGGTGCCATCAAGGCAGCAATAAAAGTGAAACTCAGACAGAATGGGCTTCAGCTATCAGGAAAAGAAAACGGCCCACACTAAGAGCAATCTGCTGGCCACTCAGGTGCCTGAACCTCTAGCTTTCAGCACTGGGGGTGGCAAATTGCAAAACTAGGAAGTGGCACATGCATGGACATGCATGGCACAGATCTGCAAGTACTGCTTCCTAGGTGCATCTGACCTAGATTAATTTGAATTTAATCTGAAGCTCAAAGTGCTGAGCACTCAACCAATACATGCCACTGCAAAGTGGTTGGTAATGGTGGAAAATCCAGAGTATATAATTCTATAGGTGGAGGGCTTAGAGTTGAGTGAACAGACTCAAAATCATCTTTGATTCAAAATGCAAATTTTTATTTAAAAACAACATTTAACCCTGATTCCATCTGAAAACCATGATAGTATATAATCTGGTGTATTTTTAGGCATTTCAATTTAGGGCAGCATTGATCTGGATATAAAATTGAATGCTTTGGGGGATTATGGAAAAGATTCACTCAATTCCAGACACCACATGGGGGGCTGAGGAACACCCTCACATGCTTCTGCTGTGCTTCCTGCATTGGGGACCCCTCCCAGGAAGGCACTGGGAAACTGCAAACTCAGGCCCAGGAGGCCACCCCACTCCCTGCAACAGCTCTCAGAATGTGAGATCATCAAAGTCTTTCAAAGATGTTTTTCTTACCTGGCCCAGAAAATAAATTCCACCACCTACTACAAAAGCGGAGATTGCAGTACCAAACACGGCAAACAACGTGATAGAACCAATATTCTGAAAGAAGTTACCCTGTTTAAAAGAGCAGACAGAGACATGATCAGACGCCAGCCTGCCAGTGGAGTAGTGACCAGCACCTGGCCCTCCTAGCTGGCCTGACTCTCAGCAAGCGCACCATGGCCTGCCTGCATGGCAAGCTAGGAACCTAAGGCTTCCTCCACCCCACACCTCCTGCAGGGTCCCAGAGTCAGGCACATCTCCCTGCCCCTGCCCCCACATCAGCTCTCACCAGACCACTGCAACGGTGTCTCACAAATCCCGACACACTCCTGGCCCTTCTCTGCCACTCTCCAATGCTACCAGAATGATTCTTGCAAAAGATAAATCTGAAGATGCTGCCTTCACTCCAACCCCCACTTCCACTTGAAATGCAGCTAAACGTGAACCTGCATGGCTCGAACCCTGGAAGGCCTCTGTGCTGTTTTGGCAGCATGCTGGCCTTTGTTCATTGTGTTCTGGAAGCATTATCATTTTTCCTCTTTTCGAGGAGAACTTTCAGCATGCTGTGACCCCAAGACACTTCCATGCTTCCTGAGGGAAGCCATCCCTTGTCCCTTAGCTGGCACCCAGCTGGGGTCCCATTCTCTCCTGGTGGCCTGCTCCCAGTGGCACCAGATATGGCTCAGTTACCTATGTAACTATCTGACTAACATCTGTCTTGTAAGTTTTTTTTGTTTCTTGGGGGTTTTTTTTTGGTACCAGGGATCGAACTCGGGACCTTGTGCCTGCCAGGCAGGCACAGCACCACTGAACTACAGCACCGGCCTGACTCACATCTGTCTTTCTCATAAGGCTGCAGGCTCAATGGGGCAATGAAATCAGCTTTTATACAACATAGTCACTGACACATTGCCTGTCAGGTGGAAAATGCCTGGTACACAGGTACAGAAGGAATCGATTGGGTTTCAAATCTGATCAAGGCCTAAAATCTATACAATTACAGTTTTTCATTTAATTAAGAAAAGCTGATTATAAAGAATATCAAGATAACAGGTTATACCATCAGAAACTTTTTTTGCCATCCATGTCTCCTTTTTTTGGTACCAGAGATTGAACTTGGGACCTTGTGCTTGCGAGGCAGGTGGCAGAACCACTGAGCCAAACCCACGGTCCCATCCATGTCTTTTAAACATTGCATCTCACTCTATTAGTATCATCATCAATTTTTTTTTTGACACAGGTTCTTGCTGCATAGTTCAGGCTGGTCTTGAATTCATTATGTAGCCCAAACTGGCCTAGAATTCACGGTGATCCTCCTGCCTTGCCCTCCCGAGCACTAGGATTACAGGTGTGGGCCACGATGCCTGGCTCATCACCAAATTTGACAGATAAAATGTGTGTCCATCTATCCTTCACAATATTTAAGAGAAAATATTCCAAGTCCAAATAGCATAGTAACATCTTCCAAACTTCCTTCTACAGGATTAGCTGGGCATATAATCCTAACACTCTGGGAGGCTAAGGCAGGAGGGTCCCAAATTCAAACCCAGTTTGGGCAACTTAGTGACTTAAGCAGAACCTGTCTCAAAAACAGGCTGAGACTGGGGATTTAGCTCAGTGGCACAATACCTGCCTGGCAAGCTTGCGGCCCTGAATTCGATCCCTGGTACCCAAATTAATTAATTAATTAATTAATTTTTTAAAAGGGCTGGGGATATAACTCAGTATGAAGGCCCTCAGTTTATTCCTTAGTACTGCTTCAAAAAAAAAACCCCATAAGATTAAGGAAATGCAGCTGTTAGAATCCTGCACTCGGGCTGGGGATTTAGCTCAGTGGTTCTGCCGCCTGCTCCACAAGGGCAAGGACCCGAGTTTGATGATCCCCAGTACCAAAAAAACAAACAAAAAAACCCCACAACAAGAATCCTGCACTCTACTGAGAACCACCAAGGGATTCTGACAACCCCTGATGGCTGGTGTGGACAAGAATCCCATCTTTTGCCCAGAACCATCAAGCCACGTACACTGAGAACTGCTTCATCCAAGCTCAATTCAAGAGAGTCCTCAGCTCCACACTGACAACCCACTAAACCTCCTCTGCAGGAAGTGGCTTTGCAGTTTTGATTTGGCTGCCCATCATCTGATAATCTCACACTTGATTCCTGTGTTTAGCATATCAATCTCTAGCACACAAAGAATTTTAAAATCACTGTTTTGCTTTGTTTCTACAAAGGGTTTTCATCTATGAGCTTTTCTTTACAAACAGCTACTTTCTTCTTTTAATTTAAAAATAGATTAGGCCAGGCCTAGTGGCCCACCCCTGTAGTCCCAGCACTGGGAGGCTAAGGAGGATCACTGTGAGTTCAAGGCCAGGCTGAACTACATAGCCAAACCCTGTCTGAAGAAAAAGAAAAGATTAGACTAACTGGTCTTGATCTATTTACAGGGCTCTAATTCTGATATGATTTATGTAGTTGGTTAATATTAATCTAGATACAGAAAATTTATCCATATTCAAGTTACTCTGCTAAAAGAACTTCTGCTACCTAGAGTAAATTTATGTTTCTCTAACATAACTAACATCCTATTTTTCACATAACATTTATAATTTAAAAAACCAGTAGCTGTCTACTTAGTATATACCAACTGATGATCATCTCACTGAACTGTGTATTCTAAGTCCAAATTTACATTAGCCAATACAGTAATAGTAAAATTAAATGCTCAGGGCCGGGGATTTAGCTCAGTGGTTCCGTCACTTGCCTAGCAAGCGCAAGGACCCAAGTTCGATCCCTGGTACCAAAAAAAAAAAAAAAAAAAATTAAATGCTCAAAGTCAACTTCCTGTCTTCTTTGGGGGAAGGGAAAGAGTAGTCAAAAGCCTCTGAATTGGGATTTCCAACTCCTACCAGTCCCTTTCACATCAAATATCACATTTTTCTGCTGAAAAGCCAACTTCAAAGAAATATTTTTTTAAAAAAATACTATTTTCCTCCAAGTTTTGAACAAATTTATCTTCCTTTCAAAAAATTAGGCCAGGCTGGGGATTTAGCTCAGTGGAGCCGCCACCTGCCTCACAAGCGCAAGGTCCTGAGCTCGATCCCTGGTACCGAAAAAAAAAAAAAAAAAAAAAGCTAAAACTAAAACAATTAGGCCAGGCGTGGTGGTGCACAGCTAATCCCAAGTGCACCACCACGCCCAGGAATAGGTTGTCACCATGACTCCCTGCAGTAATATTATTACCAATACTAGATAATAACATCACTGCTGTCCGTAAGAAGAAGAAGAAGAAGCAGCACTCCATTTATTTAGTGTGATAAGCAATCCTTTGCTTCCATTCTTTTATCTAGCGTAGATCTCAAAGCAATGCGGAAGCAGGGTTTGGGGCAGTTTTTTGAGGTTTTGTTTTTAATTTTTACCTATCATGCAGCCTGCAGGGGGCAGCGCATGATCAGACCTGCAAGTCTGAGGTCCAAAGTCCTCTCAGGCGCTTTCCTCCACGCAAGAGTTGGTCTAGCCTTGGTTCTTCCAACCCTCACCATTTTTTATGACATTCACAAAATACCTGCTGTTATTACTTTAAATTGAATCAATTTATTTAAAAACTCAAACCCATTGATAGTTAAAGAAGATTACCATAGGGGAAAAAAGAATCCCCAGTACAGACATCAACAGGTGTGAAAGGAAAGGCCCACAATGGGAGTTCGAGGACAGCATCAGCGATGCTGCCGGCTGGGAGCTGGGAGGCAGATGGGCAGAGGAGCAATGGGACAGGTTACCAGGCCCGGGACCTGAACATGACGGCAAAGGTGGGTCAGTGAGAACGGGGAGAGATGGAGGCTGAGGGGCAGTGATGAATATCAACTGGGAGGTAAAGCCCAGGACAGGGCACCCAGAGAGAAGACAAGAAGGAAACGCCTAAGGAGAGACGACAGGAGCCTCAAGGGGGTAGCTGAAAGAAGCAAATGGCCTGGGGCACATGTTCTTGTTCTCTCAGGACAAAGTCTGTCCTCTTAACAAGTGTGAGTCCATGTCCAACAAGAGGAGTCAGTGTGTCATCTGTGTGCCAAGTAAAATCACACTGGCCATCTTCCCTGGCAAATTACCGTTCTGTGCAAGTGCTGGCTCAACAAGCCATACCACCTGAAGCCATCAGAGCAGCTAATGATCTTGTCTGTTCCTCTCCGGATGTCGGGCCCTGCATTGTTTCCACCATGTGCCCCCAGGAAGGAACGGAAATTAATTAAATTAACGCCTGAGCTCTTAGGAAACTTGCCCTACAGACATGAAGAGCCATGCAGCCCCAAAGCACTGACACACGCCCAAGTCTTACCTTGTGCAAAGAATATCCGGACTCAAAGATAATAGGTGGAAGCAAGAGGAGGAAAAACATATTTGGACGAAACATTTCTTCTTCCTATAAATATAAAGTGGGTATTTTCAGAGACATGGAGTTCATGCTACAAAGAAATCAATCAGTTGAAATAATTCAGAGTAGAAATGAATGTGTAAATGACCACCTGATAATAAAACCAAGCAAAAAGAGAGGCCAGAAGTTAAACTGCATTCTAAGATGTTGAAACCAGAGATTTTTTTAAAGGGTAACCAGCAAAAGAAACAGTAACAATGAATTACTTCCAAGCATAAAGGGTGTGCTTTTTACTCCTTAATTCAGATACAACACATACAAAAACAATTCCACAAACTGGAACCCTCCAGGAAAAAGGGAGTGGTAGGCCCAGCAGGGTGCACTACACGGTCACAACAGCTCTGCCTGCTCTGTGCCCATCACGGGCACCTCTGCCATCTTCCTGCCTCAGGCTGCATTGACACAGTTCCCACCGGACGCCACGGGAGGTGGCTACAGAGCAAGCCCCCTCCCAGGCTTTCTGACTTGACTTTAAATGCCACTATGAAAAGTGCTGTAGATGATGGCCATCTCTGGGGGGATGAAATAATGCAAATTTTATGTTCTATATTAATATAACTCCTTAATTGTTGGTAGAATCAGGGCAAGATACTTGAGTCAAAAATGGCTACATATAATACACAAGCTATTTTATATTATAAAATTAGGCTTCTTTTAGCCAGGCATGGTGGTGCACAGCTGCAATCCCAACACTCTGGAGGCTGAGGCAGGAGGACTGCCACAAGTTCAAGCCCAGCTGGGCTACACAATGAGTTCAAGGCCACCTTGAACCATAGAGCAAGACCCTGTCTCAAAAAAAAAAAATTAGGCCTCCTTTCTTATGAATGTCCCCTGTCACAATCTTTTTGTTTTGTGTACCAGTATTCAAACTCAGAGCCCTGCACTTACCAGGCAGGCGCTGTACTACTGAGCTACATCCCTGGCAGCAACCCCCCCACCCCATCGCAAACTTGAGTCTGATTTCTTGTCAAAATCCCTATTCAAAACAATGACTACATGTATTCTTACAAATGTACAGCTGTTACCCTAAAGTCTAAAATAACATTCAAAAAAGACTCAAAATAGAAGCAAATGATGACTTCTGAAATGCCCTATTAAGTCTCAAAATAACGGCATTACAACATGCTCATGACTCAGACTGGGCATATATGAAAAGGGGTGGGCTGAACGCTGCACTTTACGGGGTGGTCTCCTCTCAGGTCTGTGCAGTCTGACCACCAGGCAGGTCCTTCTGGAGATTCAGAAACTAAACCCCTGGAGGAGAAGCCACCTGCAGTGGGGGGTGCACACCCCTCCTGTCCTCTGGGAGGTCTCTCCCCACAGTGCCCTAAGGTGGAAACAGGGTCCTCAAAGGGTGAGGTCAGGATCCAGGTAAGGCAGGGACGGAGATGAGAGCGCAGCAGACTGGGGCCCTAAACCCAAGGAAGTGGACTTGTAAGAAACAGAAAAGGGCACAGGGGCATGGAGAAGGCTACATGAGGGCAGGGGCAGAGATGGGAGCTAGAGATGGGACAGACGCATTTTATTATCCTCAGCTGTCAGAGTGGAGTTGGAGCAATAGACATTGTTTAATGCTAGAGCCCCCCCCCCATACACCAGTAAGTTAGTCTAGGGTTATAAAATGCTGTGCTGTCATAAGCTAGGAACTCCAGGGCTACGAGAAGCTACAAGAGCCAATGAAGAATTCTTCTCTATGGCCCTTCCCACACCTTTCAACTCCGGGCCTCCAGACTGTAAGGGGACAAATCCACTTCTTGTTGTCGTTTTGTTTTTTGAGACAGGGTCTCACTTTGTAGTTCAGACTGGCCTCCAAGTCATGATAATCCTCCTGTCTCAGCCTCTCTAGTGCTGGGATTATAGGCATGTGTCACTGAGACCTGATCAAATCTGTGGTTTTCAGCCCCCTAGTCTTTAGTCCCTAACTGCCACAGCATCCTTAGTTAAGGGATGCACCACCTTGATCAATTGATTTTATTGACTGATTGATACCGGGGATTGAGCCTGGGTCCTTGCGCTTGTGCAGCACGCGGTGAAACCACTGAGTTAAATCCCCAGCCCGATCAATTGATTTTAAATCAAAATTTTAAAATGGGTTAGTAGTCTAGGAGTGGGGAGAGGGCTTCTGGTTTGTGACCTTCCCCTAGCATGAGCCACTCTCGGGGTGGTTAACTTTAACCAAGGTGCAGTAAGATAGAGAGAATGGGCTCTGGGGGCCTCTTGCCCCTCCCCTGCCCCCTGCAGTGAGGAGCGATCTATATATATCAGGCCTTCAGTACACTCTCTTGAGAATTCATTTGATCCATAAAATATTTCCTGAATGTTCTTTTCCTTCCTTGAATATTACTTGTAAGTTTCAAGTTGTGTTTCAGGTCAGACAATAAGGCTTGTTTTGCAAATTTTATAGTATAATTTCACAGGTAAATTAATCTAAGCACCCAGGAGCTCCACCCAAGTAGGAAGGGCTCCAATATGATAAGTTTTAATCACACAATTGTGATGTTGAAATGAACCTTATTTTCCTCCACAAAGTGAATTTTGTAACACACTCATTCATCTCTCTCCACTCAGTATGGAGGCTCGAGTCCAAGTAGCCCTGGGACCACAAGGCGATGCTCACACATTAAAAACTACCACGTGAACCCGAGGGCAGCTCCAGTGGCAAACTGAGGATAGTGTGGCGTGGTGCAAAAAATACTGACTACACCGGGAGGAGGTGCTGAACACAAGACTCAACTTAGCGACACTGGACGTGTCCCAAGCTCTCTGGCTCTTTCTTCTCTGCAAAAATGAAGCAACGATAAACCTGGTTAGTCCACCTCAAATGGCTGTCATGAGGACAACACAAGCTCAAGTTATGGAAAGTACTCTAAGGTCAACAGTGCTGGATGAACGCATTTTATTACCCTCAGCTGTCAGAGTGGAATTGGAGCAATAGACACTGTTTAACATTTAATGCTAACTAGAGCCCCCCATAAAGTTAGTCCAGGATTGTAAAAATGCAGCCAACAACAAAATATGACACTGAGACCTGCCATACTCATTTGAAACAGTATGAGATTACTGTGTAAAGGTATTTATTACATGTAAAGGTAATGAATCTAAGCATTTAACAGAATGTTAAAAAGTAATGGGACAGGCTGGGTACACACTTAAATAATCCCAGCACTCTGGAAGCCTGAGGCAGGAGGATCACAAGTTTGAAACCAGCCTGTGAAATTTAGCAACATAGTGAGTCTCTGTCTCAAAATAAAAAATAAAATAGGGCTGGGAATGTAGCTCAGTGTGAAGGCCCTGGGTTCAATCCCCTGTAATGGGGAAAAAAATTAAAGGGACAATGTGAGTAATGCAATGATAAGAAAGCCAGTATAAGGATCAATGTCACTAAAATGAACAACCACCAAAAACTATGTTATAAAATGAACAGTCGGACAAACCCACCTTCCAATTTGCCAGTTTTTTAAACTCTATAATTTTTATAACAGCTCCCATGAGAATACCTGGAAGAGAAAATATAAAGTTTAACATAAATGTAAGATGTGAGAAAGATTACTCAGGCTTATTATTCTAGACAAACTGAACATTATCCATTGTGTCTCCAAAAGGTTTTGATGGAATTCTGCAAGTTTCTGTCTAAAAACATAAGAATGGGAATTAGTGTGAAGTTTTTTAAGTCACACAAGTTTGTCACTTGCATCTCAGGCAGACACACTATGAAGAAATTTACAGAGATTTAGGGGGAAGAAAAGGCTTTACAAAACAAGATCCAAGATACTCTGCCTGGCCTGAAGATGTGGCAGCCTGTTGTTTTTCATATATACACCTATTTTCAGTGTAAAACCACAGAAGCAGGCAGGCATGGTGGCAAACACCTATAATCTCAGCATGAAAGAGGCTGCAGCAGGAGGATTGCCAGAAGGCTGAGGCCAGCCTGGGCTATATAGTGAGACCCTATCTCCAAAAAAGGAAAGGAAAGGAGAAAAAAAAAGGCAAAAGCTTAAAAGCTAAGTTTGTCCTATACTGTTTATTCTTATCACTAAAAAAAAAAAAACCCAAGATCACTTTCTCAGATTCAGATGGCAGCTCTATGTTGAATATTTAGGGTTGGAGATAAAACCCAAATGCTGAAAATAATCCAAAGTAAAAGTTCTGTGAAATTCCTGGAAGAAAGCAGATTATATGAGTGCAGCATGTTTCCATAAAGCTGACAGGCTCATCACTCTCTCCTAAAGTACTCACCAAAAATAATTCTCCACGAAGCACCACAGATGTAAGTCGTGACTGCTTGGTTACTTGTTGGATAAATCACTCTTATCCCTGCTGGTCCATCAGAATCACTATAGGAGCTTTTTATAAATAAAAATGCCAGGCAGAACTCCAGGCTTACGAAGTCACTCTCTCTGGGCTGGGGTGGGGTGGGGTGACCAAGGAGGCCTGCGCACCAGGCCACGGCCACTAAGCTCAGAGAGGAAGCTGCCCCTCCCACAGGGAGCTCAGCCTGGAAGCAGCAGGTCTCTTCCGGTGGGAGAGACAATCTGGGATCCCAGAGGTTTATCAGGAAAAGGACTTCAATAACACTAACTGATGTGTGTATATGTGGTGGTGTGTGTGTGAGGTGAACAGGGGAGATAAATCTATTTTAGCTTTATAATTTTTACACTAATTGAGTTATTATAGATTAGTAAATTAATAATAAAAGTATTTTGGGGGGAAAAAAAGAAAAAGACCAGACAAAATAGAGCCAAGCTCTGAAGGGAGTCAATGAAGGTGTGCTGGGTGGTGGTGTTTTTCCACTCACCTGCCAGGCGGCATGCAGCACTGATTCCCAGCCCTCTCCTGCTGAAGTTCCCCAACAGCTCCTTTTTCTTATTTTTTTCAAACTGTATATTTTATTTTAAGGAGTTTTAAAATGTTTTATTGGTCTAATAGTTATGAATGCTACGTAAAATCTTGTAAGAAAAGTCCTTTCTGATCACATACTCTCTGCACCCCAGTCTTACTGTGTCCGGAGACTATTCTAGCTCCCTTCTCTACCTTTTCACAACCAGACACTTATCTGCACACTACCAGCGTGTGTGTGTGTGTATTTGCAGGTATGTGAATGATTTGAGTCTATTTATATAAAACTCACCGTACTACTGTACACCATTCTTCTACTTGTTAGTTTACTGAGTGTTAAATCCCAGAAGTTTAATCGTGATTATGTAGAGAACTGTCTCATTCCTTTTAACAGATTTACATGAAAATATCATAATATAAATACCTATTTCTACAAAGACACAAAGATAGCTAAAAATCACAGGAAAAGATGCTCAATATCATAAATCATTAGGGAAGTATAAATCAAAACCACAATGAGATATATTTCACACCACTAGGATGGCTACAATAATATTCTTTTAAAAAAGGGAAGCTGTGGGCCAGGAATTTACCTCAGTGGTTCTGCCATCTGCAAGGTCCTGAGTTCAATCTCCAGTACCAAAAAAAAAAAAAAAAGAAGAAGCTGGGGATGGTGGTGTACGCTTTGGGAGGCTGATATAGGAGAATCAAGTTTGAGGCCCGCTGAAGTGCAAAGGCCTTGAGTTCAATCCCCAGGACTACAGAACAAAACAAAACAAATAGAGGAAAAAAACCCCAGACCCACATAAGAGTTGGCAAGGATATAGAGAAATTAGTACCTGCATATATGGCCAATAGGAATCTAAAATACTGTAGTTTGACAATTCCTCAAAAAGTTAAAAGTGATTACCAAATGACTCAGAAATTCTAACCAGGAGAACTGAAAACACAGGTTTATACAAAAACTTATATGTAGCCAGGCATGGTGGTGCATGCCTATAATCCCAGCACTCAGGAGGCTGAGGCAGGAGGATTGCCATGAGCTTGAGGCCAACCTGGGCTACATAGTGAGTTCAAGGCCAGCCTGAACTACATAGTGAGACCCTGTCTCAAAAAAAAAGGGGGGCGGGGGGGCCAGGGATGTAGCTCAGCTGTGCACTGGTACCAGAAAAGAAAAAGAAAAACCAAAAACACCTTAAAACAAAACAACAAACTTATGTGCAGATGTTCATAATAGCATTATTCATAGCAGCCAAAAGAAGGCAAAATCCCAAATACCCAACTAATGAACGGATAAACAAAATGCATCATATCCATATCATGGATGGCATATATTCAGCAATAAAAAGGGATGAAGTATTGATGAATGCTACAATATGGATTAATCTTGAAAATATCCTAAGTGAGAGAAGCCAGAAACAAAAAGATCACAGATTTTACCAGTCCCTCTATATGAAATGTCCAGAACAGGCAAATTTACAGGTAGAAAAGGTTTCCTAGGCTTGGGAAAAGAGGTTTGCTGATGACAGCTAAAGACCGTGGTGGTTCCTTTTTGGGGTGATGACATGTCCTGAAATCAACTGTGGTAATGGATGCACAATTCCGTGAATATATTAAAACCACTGAACTGTACCTTTAAAACAGGTGGGTCATGTATTATTCGGACTATAACTCAACAAAGCCGTTACATATACAAAGACACACTCTATGATTTCATTTATATGAAATATCCAGAATAGACAAATTCACAGAGACAGAAAGCAGATTAGTGGTTTCCAGGAGATACGAGGAGAGGAAAACAGGGAGGGCCTGTTACTGGGTATACGGTTTCATTTTGGGGATGATGAAAGTGTTCTGGAACTAGAGGTGACAGCTGCAAAACCCTGTGAATATACTAAAAACTGCTTATAAAAACCCCACTGTACACTTTCAAATGGTGAAGTTTATGCTATGTGAATTATATTTCAATTGTTCAACAACTTTTTTCACCATCTCCCTGTGGATGGTTGTCTCCGACTGCTTCCTGTGGACAGCAGTGTTACCTGTGCTAGGGCAGAGCCAGAGGCTGTGAATGGCTGCGTTTATAGAGCATGAGCCCTTTTATCCGAAAACATGTTGCTGGATTATCCTCCAGAGGGATGGAATCAATCTACATCTCTACAACGGCACATCTTCACCAGGGCTGGACGTGGAGAATCAGCAGATGTTAACGATTCTGCCAATTTGATGACAAGAAATTGTACTTTAACGTTTCAATTTGTGTTTGCATTAGTTATCATTGCTGATTACCACAGAAGCTGAAATGCTTTCTGATTTCATTTTTTTTCCCTCTGATTTCATTTTTAAAGCTAGTGTTTTTCTGCTTTGCCAAAACCTCAACTTTCCTTTCTCCTTATGGAAGCACACTAAACTTTAACACCAAGAAAATGCTTCATAATTACACATGCAACAGTTACATCCAAAAATCAGTGATTATACTACTGTTTATGAGGTGCTAGGAAACTTTGTAAAGTATGATGTGGTATTATTACTTGAGAAATCATTTTGAGACTGGTTCTAGAATTAAAGTCTGGTGCAACATTTAAACTGGCTAACAAGTTTACTGTTTCCGTTTTTTTGTCATATTGTAAACCTAGGGCCTGTGCACTGAGACACATCTCCAGCTCCACCCTTTTCCCCTTATTTATTTATTTATTTACTTATTTTTGAGACAAGGTCTTGCTTTGTAGTTCAGGGTGGCTCTGAACTCACTATGTAGCCCAGGCTGGCCTCAAACTTGCAGCAATCCTCCTGCCTCAGCCTCCCTACTGCTGGGATTACAGGCATGTACCACCAAGCCCAGCTCCCCCTTCTTTTTTGAAATTTTAAGAAACAGTTTTGTTAAGTTGGCCAGGCTGGACTCAAACTGTGATCCTCCTGCCTCAGCCTTAAACAGTGCTTAGATTATAGGTGTGTACCACCATGTCCAGCTACACAGGAAATTAATTTATAATCACACCCCTGGCCACCAGATACAGTTTCCTGTCAGTAAAAATAATTTAAGGGTATACCTTCAAACTATAAATTTTTATTTATTATTCATTTTATGAAAGTGCTACCATTGGGCATGTTGGTACATGCCTGTAATCCCAGCATTTAGAAGGCTGAAGCAGGAGGATCACCTCGAGTTCAAGGCCAGCCTGGGCTAAACAGTGAGTTCAAGACCAGCATGGACTATAAAGTGAGACCCTGTCTCAAAAAAGCAAACAAACAAAAGTGCTACCATACTAACATTTACTGGTTTTGTCCTTGAGAGGAGGTCTTGCTATGTTGTCAAAGCTGGTCTCCAATTCCTGGGCTCAAGCAACCCTCCTGTCTCAGCCTCCTGGGTAGAAGGACTACAGGCACACACCACTGTGCCTGGCTCTATATTAATATACTTTAAAACATTCAAAAAATTAAAAATTATAAAGAGTGAGATTAAAGAATTAACAGAAACAGACTCCAATATTTTCTTTTGCCCCCAGGGGACCTTCAAACAGACAGCTCCTACAGACACTACCAGCCTCATGCGGGGCGTGTCGCACTCCTTCTCCTAGGCTTTGTCACTTCAAATAATTTCTAATCTTCAAGAGGACACCCGGGGAAGAAGGCTCAGAGAGTTTAAGTAGCTTGTTTGAGAGCTTAGGGCCTGGAAAGTAATGCTGGCCTGCAGGCTCCAGGTGCATTCTCCTCCCTGGCCAAGACTCAAGGAGAAGCTAGGACAGCCCCTCTAACTTCGAATGTTCAGCTCTCCCCAAGAGCAGAGCTGGCTGCACTATCACTGTAAAAGAGCATTGTCCCCGGTCCTTGAAGTCACAGAAAACGCTGAAGGTACATTAATGATCAGATTACAGGACAATATGTGCAACATGATACTAGCACCAGGCGCTGTGCTAATGTTTAAAACTTATGTTACAAGGTAATAAAACCACATAGCATAGACGATAATATTAACAGATGCCAACAGATACTGGTTCCTTAAAAGTTAGGCATTCTACTAAGTGATTTCCATGAGTCATCTTGGTTAATATCTATACTGTTGTCTGCATTTTACAGATTAAAAAATTGAGGCTGAGGCCCAGCCTCTTTTAGCTCGTAATGAGCAGGTCCAGAATTGTTCTGAAAATCAATTGTTTTTATTTGGTTATGTAACAGATGCATATGGTATGATATTTTAAGGGTACAAAAAAGCTGGGTGTTATGGATGTGCTTGTAGTTCCAGCCACTTAGGAGGCTGAGGTAGAAGGATAGCAAGTTCAAGGACAGCCTGGGCAACTTAAAAGATCTTATCTCAAAACAGAACAAAAAACAGCCAGGGATGTAGCTCAGTAGCACAGTGCCTGCCTGGCAAGCATGAGGCCCTGAGTTCAATCCCTGGTACCAAAAAAACAAAACAAAACAGGCTGGGGTGAGCTCAGTGCTATGAGGCCCCTGCTTCCATCCCCAGTACCCCCCACCACACACACAAAGTATAAAAAGGCACACAGAGAAGATTCAAGTTTCCCATCCCTGTTTCCTTTTCTCCTTTCCAACATTACCATAGCTTGGTAATTCTGCACATTTCTTTTGAGAGTGCCTGTGCATTTATAATTATATATGTGCACCTGCATGTACATATCAAAATTTCTAAGATAAATGACAGTACAGTACTCATATCTTCCTTTAAAGAAATTTTTTTTGTTGTTTTTTGGAGATGGGGTCTTGCTATTAGTTCAGGCTGGCCTTGAACTCACTCTGTAGCCCAGGATGGCCTCAAACTCACACCAATCCTCTTGCCTCAGCTTCCTGAGTGTTAGGATTACAGGCATGCATCACCACACATGGCTACATCTTTCTTAATCTCAGAAACCATTCCGAACCAGGTGTAGTGACGCACACCTGCAATCCCAGCACTCACAGGCTGAGCCAAGAGGATTGCCATGAGTTCGAAGCCAGCCTGGGCTACATAGTGAGTACAAGGACAGCCTGAACTACATAGCGAGACCCTGTCTCAAATCTCAAAAAACAAAAAAGAAACCATTCCATAGCAATACATAAGGGCTACCCACTACTTTTTGTTCTGCTAGTAGCTGCAGAGTGTTCCACCATATTCACACGCCAGGCACCAATATGTCCCAAGTACCGGGCATGACATGTTTCCAGGCTTCTGGTGTCACTGCCAAAATATACAACACACAGCCACAGCCATGGCCCAGGAACAACCTTGGTTCTAAAGTTATTTACACTGGCCAGCACCGACCTTGGCTACAGAAGTTATTTACACTGGGTATCAGGAGACGCACCTGCCCTGGAGCTCTGCTGACACAGAACCCAACAGCTCTCAGATCCTCTTCCCTTCACAGCCTGAACCAAAGCACTGTCGACTTGTGCTTTCACGGCTCCCTACAGTTACCTGTCCCGAAACCCGCCTCTGACTCTGCTTCTCAGACAGCTGGCACCAGGAGTGGAGCGCTCATAGGGAGTATACTTGAAGGACTCAGACTGGGAGCTGGGTCACTCAGCAGCTGAGGGCTGTGAGCACCCATCGCTGGTGGCAGGTGAGTACTGGTGGTTCCTCCCTCCGGGTAGAAGTGCAGGTGCGAAGACTTGCACCTGAGCTGGGCAGGACAGTGTGGAGGAGACCACCAGCTGGGGCCAGCTCTCTGGTGAGGGAGAGGTAGTAGGGAAATCATAATTGGAAAGCCAGGGAATTGTGTGGTTGTTGCTAAATGCCACTGATGCTTTGAAAAGAGGAAATGACAGGCTTAGACAATCACTACCTTGAAGCAAGGGTCTCCTGGCTGCATTTAGAGACCCTCATCTGCCGAAGCTAGAGAGCTTAGGGAGCTAAAGCTGGGCACAGGACTTTATCCTTTGGTTCCCATGAGCCTCCCTGGCCTGCCATGGCTACACCTCATATTTTGGAAAATGAAACTCCCCATGGATTCTTAAGATTACAAAGAAGTTCCGATGCCTGCCTCGAAAGCCCAAGGTCCCGAGTTCGATCCCCAGTACCAAAAAAAAAAAAAAAATTACAAAGAAGCCTCAAATGAGGCAAGTTCTGTACCAGACAGGCTCGACTCTCTCGCCTTCCCTTGACCCTCAGACCAATAACCAGGGTCAAATCTTAGTAGTGCTAGGCCTGCTAGAGCAGTAGGGGAGGTTATATACCAGAGGACCCCCCCCCCATAATAGCCTGGACGTGGATGCTGAGGGACTGAATCAATGACAAGGGACAGTACAAAAAGCAGGAGAAAAGAGTGTGCTCATCTGGCACCTGTGACACAGGAAGCAGTACCTAGCAAGGGCTCTGGGAGGTGGCTCTGATGCAGTGCTGGGAGGCGCTCTGAAGGCTGGAGAAAGTAATGTCCACATGACAGGAAGCAGACACAAGAAGGGATTAAAAGGTTCAGAACAGCAGGCATGCAAGGAAGGCTCTCCTCTACAGGACTGGCAGACCCACTCAGTGACCATGGCCCTTGGGAGGGCCTGTAGGATAAAGCAGCCAGGCTGTGCAGATAAAAAGGGACAGCACCATACTGAAGAGCCCCGAGGGCCTGGTTAACAGGATGTGCTGTTATGGCACAAGGCTTCCCAGTAACACTGGGGATGACCAAATTTTGGAACTGCAGAGGCAAAATGGCAACAATGGGGCCGGGGATTTAGCTCAGTGGCACCATGCCTGCCTCTCAAGCCCAAGGTACTGAGTTCCTTTACCACTCTGGCTGGTTGGCATTTTCTGGTTGATGTGGTACATTATGTAGAACCATGTGGCGTCCATAGTCACGTGCCCACCTCCATTAGCATATAGTGACTCACTTTGAGACAGTTACGCAGAACCCCACATGGATCAAACACTGTGGGCCCTTCAATGGCAGCACCAGTGGAAAGACATAATGGCTGGCACATTTCAGTGCCAGTCAGGATGAACTGCAGCCCTTCCCAGGGTGGGCACACAGCTGGCTGGTTTCTCAGGGAGTGGTGCCACGTCTGGTAATGAGTTGGTCTCTGTGACCATGCTGGCATCCATTTGATCCCAGCCACTGTTGTGCATGTGTTGCACAAACACTGAAGCAGTCAAGGTCAGAGGGTGGCTGAATCATCCATGAAGCAAGCTTGGGTTTTTTTTTTCCCTCTGTCAGCAGGCCATAAAATCCTCCTGACAATGCTGTGTAGGACCCAGTGAGGCCTAACCTGCAGGGACCCATGAAGGTCCTTGCTTAATGTGTACCATTGAAAGGGACCAAGAAAGGAGGAGCAGAATGTTGGGTCAGTCACCTCAATGGAAAGCTGCAGTCTGTGGCCCAGTTTCCAGAGCTGAGCCAGTTCTTAGATCCAGAGCTCACAGATCCAGAAATGTCAGGTCCATGAGGAAGGCCCTGAAATCCCACAGCAAGCCCATAAAGTGATGATGGGCCACTCCTTCCCCAAAGAGACCTGCAGCCACGTGGGTGGAGAGGAGCACTCGGATCTTTCAAGGCTGTCAGCAGACAGGGCCTGGCCCGACACTGATACCAAGCACCACCATGGTTCCCCTCTTAGGGTAAATGCAGATGAGGTCAGGTAAGACCTGGCCCAGGTCCACTGAATTCTGGTCCACTTGTTGAATCAGCTACTCAGTGGACCTTTCCTCTCTTCCAGCGACATTCTGAGCAGTTGGCAGAACTCTCACATTAGTTCTTGACCTTTCAAGTAAAAGCTATTGAAGTTGGAAAGGACAAGTAGACATGCCTAATCTGCCCCCTAACACCTCTGCCCAAACAAATTAGCACCCTGGACAGAAGAGCAGAGTACAGCCACCCTCAAATACTAAAACAACACAAGGCCAGTGGTCTGGCCCCTGCAAAAACTGAATGGATCTTGGTAGATGGCAATGGCTAACGTAACCAAGTAGTTACTCCAAACTGTAATAACTGGGCTAGGGGGTGGGCGAACCTCAGAGAAGGGATCTGAGGACAGGAAAGTAGCAGTCTCAGGGCCGGTGTTAGGCTCCTGACCTGAAAATTGTGTTCTTCTCCACCCCATCAGGAAGAAGAATCAGAGGCAGCCCACAGTCCCGTGGGACAGATATGGGATGCACCCCTGGTCTTCTTTCAGAACAGTATCAATGCCTCCTTTCTGTCACAACAGTCTGAAAGGCCCCAGATACCTGGGTATCCCACAGAGCAACACACTGGCCTGCTATACCAATAACATCCTGCTACTCTGGTAGGATGAGCAAGAAGTGCTGAGCAGACACCTTGGTAAGACACATAGACCTCAGAAGACAAAAAGGCTTTAGCTTGCCATCGGTGAAAGTTTTAGTGCTCGGGGTCTGAGGCATGCAGAGACTTCTACCTCCTAGCACTAAAAAAGGAGCATGCTGCACAGGAGGCCTCTTCCAGATTTTGGAGGTAACACATTGCCCACTGAAGAAATGCTATCTCCAGCAAGCCCTAAGAGGATGGCTCAGCACAGGTCTCTGGGTTCTGAAGCAAGGTCACTACTTGCAGCAGAGAACTACATGCCTTTCACAAATGCTGTCCCAGCATCCTGTCTTGCAAGGACAGAGCACCTGAGCAAGGGACATCAAGTCAGCATATGGCTGGAAATGCCCTTCAGAAGCTAAGCTGTCAGACCCATGAGGTTACAAGGCCAGGTGGGCCCAGCAGCAATCTAATTGTAAGAAGGTATCACATTAGAGACAAGCTTTGTGCAGCTCCGCAGGCCACAGATACACTGCATAAGCAGGTGACCCAGACTCTATGTCATCTACTACTGACACGAACACTTCTGATCCATGTTTTCAGAAACACAGAGGGAAAAGACAATACTGATAACTCTTGGAACACAACAGCCTGGAAAATCCTCACAGTCTAATTTGGTCATCTTGTCAAAGTGACAACCAGTTTTGCCCTCTGCTTCTGAGTCAGCTATCCTAAACACCAACAAATGAATACCTGCTTCTCTAACAGAAATCAAGCCAGGCGTGGTGGGGATGCCTATAGTCCTAGCACTCAGGAGGCTGAGGTAGGAGGATGGCCATGAGTTTGAGGACAGCCTGGACCACAGCCTGAGCTACAGAGTGAGACCCTGTCTAAAAAAAAAAAAAAAAAAAAGAAATCAAAGCAGGCAGTCACCAGGGGACACTTGTAAGCAGCATCAACATTAGTCAGGAGTCTAAACAGTAATTAAAAAGGCTACCCTTACATTTAGAGTTCTCTTTTGATATGTTTTTAAAGAACTTTTTAGAACTTAAGTTCACTGAAATATAATTATTGTATCTGCTTTTTTCTGAATTAACATTAGTTGATAACTTAGGAACTGCTTTTTGTCATCATCATCTTCTCAAAACCCTCATTGACAAAAAGAGTACTATTGTTAGGGTCGGGGATTTAGCTCAGTGGTTTCACTGCCTGCTGCGCAAGTGCAAGGACCCAAGATGGATCCCTGGCACCAAAAAAAAAAAAAAAAAAAAGAGTACTACTCTTAAAAAGTAGGGAGGAATTAATATAATTAAAAGCATAAGCATGGTTAAGAAGGTTAAAGGGGGGTGCTGGTGGGAATCCTATTTACTCAAGTTCACAAAATATGTTTTTTCTAACTATCCCCACAATTGAGGCTAACCCTCAGCATTTAAAGTCAAATTTCCAGCCCTTTAACCCTACTCTGGCCTTTATTCACTCTACAATAAACCATGATGAGGGAGAGGGGATCCTGTATTTGCTATTTACAACAGAAGATATGGGCAATAAAATTATTTTACTTTCATTCCTTATAGATTTTAGCCACAATACATAAAGTGAGTAAATATTACATGGCCAATAAAACGAAGTGTGAACTTGACTAACATGTGGAAAGAACACGAACACATACATACACACACACACACACACACACACACACACACGCCTATACTTGGCTTGGAAGAGAATAAAGCATACTAAAAATAGCTGAAGACATCAATGGACAAGATTTTTCTTTTTTTTTGTACAGTGGTTTGTGAGGAAAAACATTGTTTAAAGTCAAAACTACAGAATTCTATAAAATACAGGACGTATTCTAAAAGCTTTGAATAAGGGACACAGAAATCTCTTCAGGTTTTCATGTTGACCCAGTTACTTGGAAGGCTAAAATAAAAAGGGCTAGGGGCCGGGGATTTAGCTCAGTGGTTTCGCAGCCTGCTGCGCATGCGCAAGGACCCGAGTTCAATCCCCGGTACCAAAAAAAAGGGCTAGGGGTATAGCCAGTGGCAGAGTGCTTGTCTATTACATACAAGACCCTGGGTGCAACCCCAATACTGCAAAAAGCAAACTTCATGTTGATGGTCTTTTTCTATAAAGAATGAAAAAATGGCTGGACCCTCATTGGAAAATACAATGAAGTAGCGGGGCGAAGTGCTTTGAGGTGCGGGTGGGCACACTGCACTTTTCTACACCAAGTCTTACCCGGGAACACAGAGGGTTGAGCCAAAACACAGGCGGCCAGTGATGGCTCTAAGCTATGGCTGGCTATTTGTAACCTCTGGCTAGAAGAATTTATCCTGAAAGAACAAACCTCACTTGCTCTGGCTGCTTCATCTGGATTATTTCTTGGCACAAAAGTTGGACATTTTTGAAATGGTAGTGATCTCAGTATTTTGTTACACGGTGCTCCAGCAGGAAAAAAGTTTTGCTCCAACTTCTATAGCTTTATGAAATGCAAAACTAGTCTCAATGCTTTGTCAGCATTTCCAGATTCTAAGTAAGTGTCTTCTAATGCAATAAAAATACTCCCTGTACCCCAGCACTCTCTGGATGTACTTGCTGTTTTCCAATTGCCCGCGTTAGCAAAGCCATATTGAAAGCAGGCCTTACTGTCCATCACCAATCCCAGGGCTGGCTCTATGGGCTGCAGTTCTGTGAAGTCTATGGAGCAAGGAGCCCTGCAGATGGAGAGCTTCAGCTGACCTCTAACACCATCACCTCGGGTTCTGAGGTGGTCACAAGGTAACCTAGTTACCAGAGAGAAGAGCAGGCCAGCTTTCCCCGGGCAACTGCGGCCAGTGGGGCTGAGAGGAAGCCAGGACACACAGGGTGGGCAGGGCACAGGAAGCACTGCTGAGAAGTGGAGAACTGAGTCAGAAGGCCTAACCCAGCTGTCGGACCAGCTGTCTGAAGCTCACACTACCTGCAGTTTTTCTTCACAGAAGCGAAGAGGTGTGCTGCCCTACCCATACCAATCTGTTCTCTTTCAATCAATTTCAATTGGGTTTGGCCTCTTGAAATGGAAAAAGTTCAGTATTGGTTAAGACACTTTTAGCTGCAAGTAAAAGAACACCTGACTAAAAATGGCTTAAAGGGCAGATTTCATTATCTGATGGAGCAGGCGGCACTGAGACAGGCAGCTCCAGGGTATGAGTCAACAAAGCAGCAATGAGATCAAGCATCTGGGCTTCTCATCGCTCACCTTGGCAATTCCTGCCATTCCAGCTTTTGTCTTTTATTTTTTTCCTTTGATGGTACTAGGGTCTGAACTCAGGGCCTTCATACTGAGCTCATCCCCAGTCTTTAAAAAAATATATTTTTACAAGATTCTGAGACAGGGTCTTGCTAAGTCACTAAATTGCTCAGGCTGGGTTCAAACTCGTGATCTTCCTGCCTCAGCCTCCCTGAGTCCTGGAATTACAGATATGAGCCACAATGCCCAGCTCTGGCTTTTGCCTTTGAGCCACAGTGGTTGCAAGATGGCAACCATCCAGGCGTCACTTCCTCAATCAGCAGAATTAAAGGAAGGAAGAAAACATTTCCCGGGACCCATCACACAGCACGGCTCCCTTCACTGTTGCTGGCCAGACCGGGCTCCGCCCTCTCAACCAAGGGAAAAGGAGAGTGTAATTACCATGAGGGCAAAGACCAAGCTGTTTTTGGTTTTTTCTTCACTGCAGGTTGAACCCACGGCATTCTCGCTGAGCTACACACCCAGCCTGTTTTTTATTTTGAGACAGGGTCTCACTAAGTCACTAAGTTCCCGGGGCTGGACTCAAACTTATGATCTTCCTGCCTCAGCCTCCCAAAGTACTGGGATCATAGGTATGCACCACATGTCCGGCTGCAAAGACCAAATTGACACTGTTGGCTGCCTACCCACAAGCCATGTCTTCTTGTTCCTTTAAAACAGATACCTAATTTTGATCAAGTGTCTTCTCTGATCAGAAAGAAGAGGGAAATGGCTTTTGGGTAGGGAACTGAGAATGTCTGCTGTAAGCTCCAATACAAGCACTGGTGTTCAGCGAGCCACAGTTAACCCACACACTCGAGAGACAACGAAAGCTGGGCACAGTGATGCACACCTGTAATTGCAGCGCTTTGGGAAGCTAAAGCGGGAGGATCCAAAGTTTAAGCTCAGCCTGCGCAATTTAGTGAGCCCCTATCTCAAAATAAAAATAAAAGGGCCTGAAGATGTAACTCAGTGGTAGAGAACACCCCTGCACTCAATCCCCAGTACCACAAGAAAAGAAAAAAGAGAGAACATGACATTGCAAACCAAATTGCTCTATAAAGAATTATCATTTTTGGCCAGGGATTTAGCTCAGTGGTTCTGCTGCCTGCCTCACAAGCGCAAGGACCTGAGTTCAATCCCTGGTACCAAAAAAAAATAATAATAATTATCATTTTTTTATATGCACCATAACTAAATAACACCAACTATAATTCTTACCATTTAAGAAACCGCAAGCTGGGCATGGTGGCAGAAGCCCATAATCCCAGCACTGGGGAGGCTGAGGCAGGAGGATCCCCCTCCCCCCAGTTCAAGGCCAGCCTGGGCTACACAGTGAGTTCAAGGCCAGCCTGAACTATAAAGTGAAACCCTGTCTGAAAAACCAAAAGAACTATGAAACTGACCACAAAACTGAAAATTTTTTTCTTTCTTTTTTTTTGTAAATTTCTTGAAGTGTTTTTTTTAAGTCTTTATCAAATGCCCCAGAGTACTGGATATTAGCTATGAAGGTTATTTTCTGAGTGACTAATAGCAGGAAAGGAATGTTAATGAGTAAGCTCTGCACTCTCAGAGCTACAGAAGTATCTTGTTAGGTTGTTAGAATCTGCTAAACAGGGAACAGGAACTCTGACTAAAACTGGTTTCCTACTCTGGACTCAAGATCAGTACTACAGAGTGGTGACTGTCCTTAAAATTGAACCCAGACGTTATAAGACGGCAGTGTGGAGGCTCACAGCCTGAGTCTGCCCCTGAGCAGCAGTGTGGTCCAAGGCAAACATAGGGGGGTCTGTACTAGGGTAGCAGGAAGGCAGGTGACGATGGGAAAAGACAAGGCTGCTGAACAGAATCTGAATGTCCATTTCCAAAGCAAACTTACATCACACGCAGATTGGGAAAGCATCACTACCCCATTAAACAAGACCTATAAAGCAAAGACAACTTACAACGAATCAGAGGTGATAAGGAAAAAATATTTATCAGCAGGCAAGTGGAGACTAACAAAAGTAACTACAATTTTGTCAACTGCTAAGCTATAGGGAGCCTTAGTATAACCATTCACTGTGCCTTAAGCATCCTTCCCCCCATTTTAGTCTTGAATTTGACACTAATTAAAGTCTCTGCTTCATCCTTCATTAACTATTCAATGAATGTGCCTGTGTTCGCATCTGTTGTTACACAGATTCATCCACTCCACTCCGCCTAGAAGCTAACTATCTTAACAAATGCCACAGGAAACAAGAGAGATACTAAGTGGTTGGCTGCCTCTAACTAATATTAGGGAGCCATTTCGCCACCCTAAACTGTAAGGTCAATGTGCTCAAAGGACAAAAAGAAGCCCAAGGAAAGGGCCGATGGGGGCACAGATGGACTCTGCATGACCTTCAGGAACCTGCCACCCTTCTCTGAGCCCCAGCATCCTTCTCTGGAAAGTGGACTCGAAACACTAGAGCAGGATATAGAGCAGTGGAAATGGAATCAGGTATGTGATGCGCCTCTTGTGGTTGCTGGTGCTAAGGAGGAAGGCACGTCGAAAATGTAGTTTTTGTTACTGCTTTTATTGTGAGGTCACTGAGACGCACTTACCTAGAGAAACAACAGCAACGCTCTCTGGCAAGAAATGCAGTCGGTATCGGATAAGCAAATGCACCAATATGATGCAGATAGCTGTGGGGAAAAAATAAGACATTGTTTTAAAAGCCCAATTCTGAACAGTAAACACCCCATTGAAGGCAGTGTTACTTCTGCAGGGCCATCAAGATAATGGACAACTGGCAACGACACAGTGAACGTCTGTTGTATTTTTATTGATTCTTAACCTAGAGGCAGGCTGATAGTATTTATTATATTTTCTTTATATTTCTTTTTATGCCTGAACTGTTCTCCAGTGGTTAACTTTGTAATAAACTGTAAAACCTAATACAACCATTTACAATTACTCAAATTTTCCTGATTATTAGAAATGGTCCTACTTTTTTGAAATAGGAAGTTGGTGAAATTACTTTTACATAAATGCAACTGTAACTGATCATGTGGATATGAAATATTTTGCACCATATAACTGGTTCTCTTTTTTTTTTTGGTACTGGGGATCGAACTCAGGATCTTGTGTTTTCGAGGCAGGCGCAGTGCCACTGAGCTAAATCCCCGGCCCAGAAGTGAGGGTACTTTACAAACAGGAAAAAGTAAAAATTTCAGTTTGATGACAAGAACATTAAAGAAATTTGAAGACAGTGACTCCTGCCCCCAGCTGGCTACTCCAGCTGGGTACAGCACTTCCCAATGCTGCCTCATTCAATCCTCCAAACTTCCTCACCAGCTGTCATGAGAAAAGCAGCTTCAGGGTGTTGGGATGTCAGGATGTCGAAGTCCAGGGATGTTACTGAAGCAGGGAGTCTCATTCTGACTTTGTGCACTTAACCACTGTGAGCTCTACCACCTCCCACCTGGCTGGAGGCCTTCATTCCTCAACCTCCCAAACAAGAGTAATGCCTGACTTTCTTCACAGGGGTGCTACCACAAAAGAAAAGAGAAGATGCCCAGACATAATGGCACACGCATGTAATCCCAGCACCAAGAGGCCATGGCAGGAGGATCTCAAGTTCAAGCTCTGGCAACTTAGTAACTTAGCAAGACTCTATCTCAAAAAATAAAAAGGGCTGGGGACAGAGTTCAGTGGCAGAGTGCCCCTGGCTTGGATCCTTAGGATGCCAAAAAAGAGAAAAAAAGAAAAAGAAGGAAGAAAGAAAGAGGATAAAAAGATGTAACTCTATTAGAAAATAGTATTTCTGAATCAAAAAATAAAAATAAGAAAAATAGTGTCCTTTCACACGAATACTCCCAATGCAATTCTATGCTCCAAATGTTAGCATATGCGTCTCTTTCCTTTATTTGGCACCTGGGTGGTATACCATCTCACTAATCACAGTATTAATTTAACAGTTCTAAACATAGCTCTGCTTTTTAAACAATCTAAATGGCTATTAACTGGCCACCCTTAGAGCCCATACTGACAAATCAGATTTTTTCAATCCCACCAAAAAGTACCAGGAGGCCAGAGAAAAGAAATTTTGTCCTCTTTCCACTTTGTGATTTTAACTATCAATCTGCGATGTTAATTTTGAGACAGGGTCTCACTATGCAGTTCAGGCTACCCTTGAACTTGCTATGTAGCCCAGGGTGGCCTCAAAATCCAGTTGATCCCCCTGCCTCAGCCTCCCCAGTGCTGGGATTAGAGGTGTGCACCACCATGCCCAGCTCTGTGATGTTATTTTAATATAAATATTTAATTCTGAAAAAATTTAACCAGTTAGAAAATCCCACTTTAAATACTAAAAGCATGAAAAAAGCCCCAGTGCATAAGCAATCTTAAATGCTCCACACCCTGAAAGCTACTTTGGAAGTCTTATTCACGCTTTTCACTCTCCCTTTAAAAAGGAGATTATGAAAGTTTCTTCTAGGCCTGCCTTTTATATGCTCTAGCACAGCAAGCTGAAGCCAATGTAAACAGACTAATAATACATAATCCTGAAAGGAGACTTCAGGAGATTTTTTTAATTGAGAAAAGAACTGCTTTTCTTCTTTGTATTCAACTACTAAACGAAACCAAACCAAAACAAAAAGGAGTCCTTGATTTACAGGGTAAAAAAATTTCCAGGGTGTGTTAAATCTACGTGGGATATTGTACACTTCTGGTCTGTGTACTTTCTCGGTATTCAATTTTTTGTTTCTTTTGTTTTGTTTTTTGTTGGTACTGGGGATCGAACTCAGGAACTTATACTTGAGAGGCAGGTGCGGTGCCACTGAGATAAATCCCCACCCTTGGTATTCAATTTTAAAGTTTTTAAAACTCTATGACAGACAAGGATGAATCCTAGGTTTCAAATAAAATTACTCTATTTTTGTAATTATATGATCACTCATCACTCTGAATAAAAATGTGAAAGATATTATACTCTTCAAAATCCAATCCTAAGAGACATCAGAGAAATATGCAATGAAAACCCAGTTCCACCTCTGAATCTTTTGAAACAATCTAATCTAATTAGAAAGATGACTTTGGTATTATTTTTTTAGAAAGCAGCAAATGTAAACATATCAAGTTCACTTTCAAACAAGAGTCTGGAGTTGGGTCAAACTCTTAAACTCTTTCTTCCTTAGTCAGCTAATCCAAAGTGGTTGTGTAGTTTCAGCCTGAGTTCTTCTGTCCAAAACAATTATCTACTGACTATGGGAGTTTCTGCCTCTGGCGTGTGCGTGCGTGCGTGCGTGCGTGTGTGTGTGTGTGTGTGTGTGTTACTGGAGGGCCTTTGCACTGAGCTATATCTCCCCCCCTTTAAATTCTGAGATAAAGTTGAACTATGTTCCTAAATTTCCCAGGCTGGGCTCAAACTTGTGATCCTCCTGCCTCAACCTAGCTAGTTTTTGCCTGTTATCTAAATCTCTTGACTGAGGTCTGGCACCCTAGACATCAGCCTCTAGTCTCCTATTAACCAGATGTGCCAATTATTTGACATCTCTGAGCTTAAATTTGCTCACCTACTAAAGGAGGAAGGTGAATTAAATAACATTTAAGTTTGAATGAATCCACTTAAACTAAATTATTACATAAGAAAGTAAGAGTATAAGTGGCCCATGGGTACAGCAAAGGTCATGACCATGGTTAATGGGCACGCTAAGAGATAAATGGTGTGCTGGGACAAGAGTTCTGATCTTCACTCAGCAGGAAAACCTTAAAAAAAGGATCAAGATGCAATATGAGTGTATGCCATTACCTCATAATGACTGTTTATTATATATCATAAACATACACTAATAAAATTTTTTAAAAGAAACCTTTAATAAAAATTTACATTGAGGCCCAGGGATTTAGCTCAGTGGTTTCACCACCTGCTGCGCAAGCACAAGGACCGGAGTTCGAGCCCCCGGTACCAAAAAAAAAAAAAAATTTACATTGAGCAGGGCATGGTGGTGCACACCTGTAATCCCAGCACTCAGGAGGCTGAAGTAGGAGGATCACTGCAAGTTGGAGGCCAGCCTGGGCTACATAGTGAGTTTCAAGGCCAGCCTGAACTACACAATGAGACCTTGTCTCAAAAAAACAAAAACAACAACAAAAATCCAAATAAATAGAGATCCTGTGTCAAAAAACAAAACAAGGCCAGGCATAGTGGCTCACACATGTAATCCCAGCACTTGGGAGGCTGAGACAGGAAGACTGCCACCAGTTCAAGGCCAGCCTGGGCTACATACTGAGTTCAAGGCCTGCCTGGAGTATGTAGTGAGACCTTTCTCAAAAAATTAACAGGGCCAGGGATTTAGTTCAGTGGTTCTGTCACCTGCCTCGAAAGCGCAAGGACCTGAGTTCGATCCCCGGTACCAAAAACAAAAAAAACAAAACAAAACAACGAACAAAACCCAAACTAAAATAAATAAATTTAAAACAAAAATGTACATTGAAGCCTAATAAACATAAGGGAAAAAATACTGCTTCTATTGATACCTTCACATTTGACTCTGCTGCCTCTCGCCACCCGATACACACATACATACACAAGTGCGCAGACTTCTATGAACAGAATTTGAAGTCCACTAAATTAAATGTTCAAGATTCTTGATTAAAAATTCTTTAGTTTTTTTCTTCCAAAGACCATCTAAAATAATGTATTAAGGGCTTTTCTGTGATTCCCTAAGGCGAAGGGAGTGCCCCAGGGTGGTTATAAACTGAAGGTTTGCCCAGGGTGTTTAAAGCAAGAGCCAAGTGGGAGGGAGACTCCATAAAGTCAACAGTAGCCACAGGGCTGATACACAGACACTCCACATGGCGCACATTCACCTAGGACGAGGAGGCTGAAGAAAATGGTCATGCCGCTGGACTGCTCCTCCTGCTGAGCCTGCTGCCCCGTCTGCACAGGGAGGATGGGCTTGGCAGGGGTTGGGAGCACCAGTTTTGTCGTGACACCCAAGGTAGTGTGGAGGGTGACATTGAAACTCTCCAGAGTTGTATTGGAGAACCTGTTGGAAGACATAACAAGCAGCAGAATTAGACAAAGGAAAAAAGGCTCTAAACTATTAATATGCACACCTCAAACTGGGCAAAGTGTTTTATGGGAGTGGCAGGTTTTGCAAGAGAGGAAGGAAGGAAACCCCTGCCTGCACAGCAGGATGCACAGCAGGTAGGAGTGGTCTCAGCTGCTTTTCTTTTCTTTTTTTTCTTAAAGCTGCATTTTTTTTTTTTGGTACTGGGAATTGAACTCAGGTCCTTGCACTTGCACAGCAGGCGGAGAAACCACTGAGCTAAATCCCTGGGCCCTCAGGTCCTTTTCAACAGAGCCACCTAAAGGACAGGAATGAGGGAGGCAGGGCCCACACAGAAACTTTGCCTGCTCTTCAATACTTGACGGGGGACCCCGACTGGAATCTCATCACATCCCGAGGCCCAACACTTTATTTCCCCACTTTACGTTCTTTTCCTCGGATTATTTTTGCAAGTTGAAAAAGCCACTTGAACTTGCCTAGTTGTTGATCTGGCCAGAATGTTCTACCCCATCTTACAAAATGCTTCTCAGATTTCCTAAGGCTCAGGTTACCGGTTCTGTAATACCCCACTCCACCCCAATTTCCCCACCCCACAGCTATGTGCCCACACTCTTCTTCCATTGTGTTGTGGCTGTGAACTAGTGCAAACTGATATAATGATCATAGTAATTATGAAAATTGTTATTTATTCAGCCCAGCTCATTCCAGGAAATAGGTAATACAACACTTCTTAAGGTTCTGTAACTTGGCCAACATCTCAGTCAATGGCAGAATCAAGCTTTCAAACTCAAATCACTGAGCAATACCACGTCTGTTTTGTGCTGCTGAGGCCTAGTTTAGTGTCTAGGAGAGGGATCAATAAATAAGTCAACTAAATGACTTGCCACCCATTTGACCAGAGGCATCTGAAACATGCCAGGTGGTGGAGACCAGTATTAATCGAGGAGTTCCTGTTAAATCTTCACACACTCCAGACAGGACATCTATGTGACAAGGGGGGATGGTAACCATCTCCAGGTATGGGGATGGACTAACGGTGGTCTGGAGAAAACAGACCCTCCCCACACCTCACCATATACAACTAGCCCCCCTGGTGTCTACACTCCAACCATTCTGCTTTTCCTTCACTCCAAAGTACTAAATCATTTCTTGATTCGGGCCCTTTGGACGTAATATCACCCCCTTCCTATCCCTCCTTCTGTTCATTCAACTCAAACGTTGCTTCTTACACAGATTCCCCTAACCTCACACCACTCTACAGCATTTCCTTCGTCGTGCTTAACAGAACTTGAAACCATTTTGCTTGTCTATTTATGCTCTTCTCCCACTACAGCGGAAGGTCCTTGAAGGCAGCTCCTGATCTGCCTCCTTTGCTACTAGGTGCCCAGGCAGGGCCTCCAATTACGTAGACAGGTTAATGAATGAATGAAATTTAGTGGATTACACAGACGCGACAACTAATCATTACACAGGGGACTGGCTGAGTAGGAGGTGTTGTGGGGGATGGGGAGGACTTCCTGGAGGAGGCAGAGCGTTTAGTAATCTTCAGCTAATTGGAACCTGGGAAAGTGAAATACGGCTAGCGGTTTCGGCAAAAGTGATCTCAAGGCCTGCGCTGAGTGCCAGATCCCCAGCCTAAAAGAGGCTGTAGGGCCCAAGTACGCCCAGACCCATCCCGCCCTTCTCGCAGGCGCCGGCACAGACTGCGAGCCAACTGCCACAAGGAGCTCCGCCTTCCAAAGCCAGAGACTAGCCGTCACCCGCAGGGGGCCCAGCCCTGCCGCCTCCGCAGCCCGGAAAAACCCACTCACTCCTCTTCCGCCATCTTCTCCCCAATCCTGCGACGCCTCCAAGACCACCGAGTTCTGAGCCCTAGGGATAGCACGGCCCACGTCGCTTCCGGCTTCCGCTGGAGGCGCGAGCGGGCCGGCGAGTGAAGGCGGGGCCTCGGCCACGACGGGACGACCCTCTGTCCTGTCGTCTCAATGGCCCAAGGGTAGGAGGAGGTGCGTGGGAGGACAGCTGTGGGACTTTCTGGGCGCCGTGCAGAGTAAGCCTCCTCGCAAGAGGGTCCGGTCTTCTCCGTCGCTGGCCGAGTGCGATTTCGGGTGAACTCCTGTGAGGTCCCTGTGACTCACCCTGAGGGATAGTACCCTCCACCCAGTGCTCTGGAATTTCCTCTGCTAAATGGAGGGAAGGGGATGGGCTCAATTTGAAGTCTCGACTGTTCTAGGGATCCCGGCGGTGCACTTTGCAATCCTAGCCTCAGTTTTCCTCACCTGTTGAGAGGAATAACCACGTGGACTTGAATGATTGTTCAGCATTCCATCTGTAATCATTTATGACTATATGGCATTTAAAATAGGTGCTGAAGGCCGGGCGTGGTGGCGCATGCCTGTGATCCAAGCACTCGGGAGGCGAGACAGGAGGATCCCTGTGAGGCCAGCCTGGGCTACATAGTGAGTTCAAGGCCAGTCCGAACCACATATTGAGAACCTGCCTCAAAAAACCAAAACTGGGCCGGGTATGTAGCTCAGTGGCGCCTCAAGCGCAAGGTCCTGAGTTTGACCCTCGGTACTTTAAAAACAAACAAAATAGGTGCGGAGGGCCGGGTGTGGTAGTACATACCTGTAATCCCAGCACTGGGAAGACTGAAGCAGGAAGATCACTGAGAGTTCAAGGCCAGCCTGGGCTAAATACATAGCAAGATTCAAAATAAACAGGTGCTGAAGATGAAGGAACAGATCATTCATTCATATGTTCATTGATTCAACAAAACGTTTTTATTTGCAATGCTGGGGATTGAACCCAAGGCCTGAGCTACGTCCTCAGGTTCTGTCTGATTCAACAAGTGCTTGTCTGGGGTGGGGGTGGGGGGTTCTGGAGGAATTGAACCCATGCCTAGCACTAAGCTACATCCCCAACCCTTTTTTAATTTTTTATTTTGAGGAAGGGTCATCCTGAGTTGCTAGATTGCCTAGGCTGGGCTCGAATTTTTGATCCTTCTGCCTCAACCTCTCAGAGTGCTGGGATTACAGGTGTGCCCATCACTTGGCATCAACAAATTGTTAATTGACCTCTGCTCTTCATACAGCAGTGCTTTATGGGATTAGGGCTACAGGAAGGTACAAGGTGAGGTTTTGAGGGTAGGTGGGACCCCATCAGGAAGGCTGATACCTTGTCCTAAGGCCTTTGGCTTTGACCCCTGCCTCTTCCTTCATGTCCAGGCTACTGTATCTCATCTGCATAATCACAGCAGCTCTCTGAATGGTCTGACTCTGATGTGGCTCTTTTTGGTCTTCCACACATGGGCCAAAGTGATCCCTTAAAATTCTAGTCATACCTGTGCTCAAAACCTGTAATGGCTTCCAATCAAAAAAAATAAAATCTTGCACAACCTATAGGAATCAGCCCTGCCCCCTTGACCCCATGAAGCTGTACACACACACACACTAACACTCATAGTTTGGATCTAAGATGTCCCCCAGAGGGCTCATGTGTTCAGAAATAGGGTTTTTGGAGGGGGATTGGATCAGGAGGGCTGTAACTTCATAAGTGGATTAACTCATTGATAGATTCATAATTTGAATGGTGTACCTGGGAAGTGATGGAAACCCAGGAGGTGAGGCCTAGTAGGAGTGAGTGGGTCATGGGGCATGACCTTGGGGACCATATCTTGTCCTGGTTCCTGTCTCCTTCTGTCTGTCTCTGTCTCTCTCACTATGAGCCAAAATATCCTTTGAGTTGTTTCTCTCTGGTATTTTGCCTCAGTGACAGCGCACTCAACATCAGGCTTTTTACTGTTGTCCCAGTGGCTTCCTCCGCGTGCTCCCAACACCAAGAACACTTGTGCCTTTGCACTTACCACGCCCCTTGTCTAGAAGGCTTCAAGGTACCCCCTTGGACTCTCCTCTCACACTTGCCAGCTTTTAACCCTTCCCTTGTGCATTAGGCCTTCCCTGACCACTCTGTATAAAATCCAACCCCTCACACCTTAACTATTTTTCCACAGGTCTCCTAAGATACCGTTTGTTTTACTCACATATTTGTCGCTTATCTCCCTCAGTGAGGGTGGAACCTTTATGAATAGAGGAATTTTTGTCTGTTTTGTTTTCTGTTTTATCTTCAGTGCCTAAAACAGTACCAGGCACAGAGTAGACACTCACCCATTGAAAAATAAGTGATTTAGTTCATTCTAGGTGTGTCAGAAAGCCACAGAAGGGTATCATTCTGGGAAAGAACATGATCTTGGTTGCTTGGGGAGAGTTAAGTGGGGTAGGGGGTGGGATTCTAGGACAAAAGCCCTAAAACTACCCAGGAGGCCTTGAGATAATCTACATGCAGGCAGATGGTGGTTTGGATGAAGGTGATGCATGCCGGTGCTAGGATGGCTGGACTCTGGCTAAGGGCGGGGTTTGCTGATGGACTGTGACAGATAAAAGAGGATGAAGTCAGGGTTTTGGCCCTGAGGAACTGGCCTGAGAAGAGACCTGTTGGACTGAAACTGAGTTCTTGACCTCTTAAGACTGTTGTCAAAACTAACTGAGTGACTGTGGTTACGCTCCTCCAGGATTGACCAAGGCCGGCCTGCAGGTGTGATGCTGAGCTATTGTTTCCTTAATTCCTAACATAATTTTGCAGCAGATACAATCATAATCGCCAAATGGAAGCACAGGGGAGCCAACCCATCTTGCAGTCACACAGCTAGCAAATGGTGAAGCTTGGAGTTCAGGAGCAGAGTCTGACTTTAACCAGTGGCCCAGTGGGTTGGAACTATCTGTTTTCCTGGCTCTAAAATGGGCCAAATAGCCCGCTTCCATCATTTAGCACAGAGCCCGCGGGGAAGGGAACTAGGCCACACAGGATGGAGAGTTGGGAGCTCTCTGGCAATTAAACTGAGTTTTGAGGCTGTTACTCCTTTTCCAGCCATACAAAACCTCAGGGAGGGCTGGCGACAGAGCTCAGTAGAACTTTTACTGGCATGATGGAGGCCCCTGACTCAGTCCCCACATCTCAGTACAGCAAAAATACAAAATGTAAGAACAAAAACACCTGGCTGGAAGATGCCGAGGGCGGCCCCTCTCGCCACTCTCTGACCCACTGCCCCCTCCACAGCACCTGCAGTCACGGCCCAGTCAGGGCACTGTGCCGATGGTGCGACCCTGGCCTTGGCTTCCTCTGGGCCTGCTGCCAACCCTGAAGCTGCACAGCACCTGCACTTCATACCTCTTCCTGTGAATGAATCTAAAATCCTGGGTCATTGCCTCAGGAAGGTAAATAAAACCACCAGACACACAGTTCCTGGGCTGCAGTGCCGTGCCCAGTGGACAAGTCACTGACACAGGGCACAGTCAGCTTCAGCGCCAGGCATTGCTGCTCCCAAGCCAGGGAGGCCACAGAGCCCCAGTGCCCCAGCACATTTTTAACAGCACTTCTCCTCAGAGGGCTGTTAGAGGATTAGAGACCACTCCTGCCTTTGTTCTCTCTGCCTGAGCTGTTCTGCCCATCTGCCCACTCTTCCTCCTTGTTTCAGCTTCACATCCCCTCCATTTAAATGTCACCTGTTCCTGGAGGCCCTCCCTGGCCACTCAGTGAAGACCAGGGTGGTTCAGCGAACTTTTGCTCTAAAGAACTGACATAAATTCTGTGGGCTTTGTGGGGCTTGTGACCATGTGGTGCCAACTCGGCTCCAGTGTGAAAGCAGCTGTGGGAGATGCAGACAGGCATGGCTGTGTTCCAATAAAACTTTATGGATGCTGAAATTTGTCATTTTCACCTGGTGTGAAATACTATTCCTGGTTGAATTTTTTTTCAACCATTTAAAAATGTGAAGTCATTCTTAGCAGGTGGACCACAGGAAAGTAGGCAGGAGGCTGGGTTTGACCCTCAGCTGCTGCCATCTAAACTAGTCTTAAACACAAGAAATTGTTGGGGCCGGAGAGTTAGCCCAGTGGTTCCATCGCCTGCCTTGCAAGCGCAAGGACCTGAGTTCAATCCCCGGTACCAAAAAAAAAAAAAAAGTGTCTCTGAGGTACTTGTTGATATCAGACTTTTTTCCTGCTTTTTTCCTTCCCTCCTTTCCTTCGTTCTCCCGTTCCTTCCTGACTTTATTTTTCCATTTCGCATCCTAGGATGTAAGCTTCCCAAAAGCAAAGATCTGGTCTCTCTTCTTCCTTTCTTCCACCTTTTATCTCACCCCCACCCCCACCCCAGTATTGTGAATTGGATCCAGGGCCTTCTCTTTGAGCTACATCCCCAGCCCTTTTTATTTATTTATTTATTTATTTTTGAGACAGGGTCTGGCTGCCCAGGCTAGGCTCAAACTCAATGATCCTCCTGCCTCAGCCTCCCAGGGTGTTAGGATTTCATGTGTGTCCCGCCACACCTGGTTGCTTCTAACTCTTGAACATTTATTTTATACCAGGCATTTTTCCAAGTGTGTTCTGCTCATTTATTTAATCCTTATAAAAACTCTAGAGGTAAGTATTCTTTTTTTTTTGGTACTGGGGATCAAACTTGGGACCTTGTGCCTGCAAGGCAAGCATCAGAACCACTGAGCTAAATCCCTGGCCCAAGGTAAGTATTCTTATTAGTCCAGTTTTTTTTTTTTTTTTTTGGTACTGGGGATCGAACTCAGGACCTTGCTCTTGGGAGGCAGGCGCCAGAACCACTGAGCTAAATCCCCGGCTCTCTTAGCCCAGTTTTAAAGGTGTGGAAATGAAGTCTTGTTCATCACTCTTTTCCTAGAGCTTAGAAAAAGACAACAAAACAGGGACACCAACAAAAAGAACGTTGATAGTTTATTAAAAAAGAAAATTGGGCTTGGGGTGTAGGGCGGGCTCTTGCCTAGCATACTCAAGGGTCTGGGTTCAATTCCAAGTGTGTGCGCTCGTGCGTGCATGCTTGTGCGTGTGCGTGTGCGTGTGTGTGTGTGTGTGTGTGTATTTATGGCATAGAATTGTTTTAAAGTAACACAGATTTATTATCTCATGTTTTTATTGGTTAGAATCATCAAGGGGCTAAAATCAAGGTATCAGCAAGGCTGCATTCCTGCTAAAGGGTCTAGGAGATAATTCATTTTCCAACCTTTTCC